GCCGCTACCAGGTCCAACTTTGGTCCAATCAGGTGTGATGGGGCTGGGCTGAGACCCGAGGACCTTCACACTATCAAGTCCTCACGATCACCCTTGATATTTTAAATATATTCTTCTTTGTTGTTGTATTTTTTTCGAGACAGGGTTTCTCTGTGTAACAGCCCTGGCTGTCCTGGATCTCACTCTGTAGACCAGGCTGGCCTCGAACTCACTGAGATCCACCTGCCTCTGCCTCCCAAGTGCTGGGTAAATATAGTCTTATAAAGTAAGTAAATAAAAATAAAGGTAAAAAAATATATTTAGTCAAATGAACTGTAATAAACTGTGGACAGACATTTGACAAAACGTTACTAGACTGCAAGTTCGAGCTGCTGGCTGTGCAGATAAACTTCTCAGTTAGATTGCTATCTCAGGAGGCCGGCTCAGCAGTTAAGAGCGCCGGCTGCTCTTTCAGAGCACTCAGGTTCGATTCCCAGTACCCACATGTCAGTTCACAACACAGATGTAATTCCTGTTCCAGAGGATTTGACACCCTCTCACCCGAGGGGTGTACAGATCATGCAGGCAGTACACTCACGCCTATAAAATAAAATTAAATAAAAAAGTAGATAGCTAGTGCTGGGTCCCTGCCATGTCACTGGACTCAGACACTGGCCTGTGTGCACTTCAGGAATAAGAGGGCAGTGAGTGGGTCTGCCTCTTTCAGAAATGGTTGACTGAGTGAAAGCCTTCGTAGTTCTCCGGAACCCTCCACGGAGGAGCTCCCTCTTCGCCAGGGAAGACTCGGGTCCACAGGTTCTTCTGTGACCCTTCCTGAGAGGTGGGTTAGTGGGAAGGGGCAGGCAGACTGACTCTGCTCATCCTGTTAAGAGGCTTAGCAAGGGTATGAGAAGTCACGGAAGGTTTCACCGAGGTGACAGTGGACAGTGGTGCCAAGGAGGTTAGGGGAAAAGCTGTGCTCTTCTACCATAGTGGCTCCTCTCGGGTGTGTGTGTGTGTGTGTGTGTGTGTGTGTGTGTGTGTGTGTGTGCGCGCGCGCGCATGCGCGCGCGCAAGCATGTCACAGGTATGCATGTAGACGTTAAAGGACAACTCTGTGGAGTCGTCCATCCCGCCTCCAACCACCTTTAAGTGGGTTCTGGGAATTGAACTTGGGTCTGCATGCAAGCCTGGTCCTCTCTGGTCCAATGTCAGGCTAGTGTGAAATCCAGGCCTCCTGCTGACTGTCAGCCTCCAGACATAACCTACGCCAGGTCTTACTGGAACCATCGCGCCAGACACGAAACATTTGGGCCTTGCATTGTTCCTGGACAGAGATCTTACCTGATCCTCTCCCAGCTGCCAAGTTCTTTTGAAATACCATCTTGCCATCCAGTGGTGCTCACCAAGCCTTGTTCAGAGAGATCTTCATGTGCAAAGAGAATTCAAAGTCTTCCCTTTTGAAACAACTCTTTTAAAGATTTACTTATTTATGTATTTTATGAATATGAGTGTTCTGTCTGCATCTACTGCTGTATGCCAGAACAGGAGATAGGGTCCCATTATAGGTGGTTCTGAGCCATCATGTGGTCCCTGGGAATTGAACCTGGGTCCATCTGCAAGAACAGCCAGTGCTCTTAACCACTGAGCCATCTCTCCAGCCCTGAAACAACTCTTTCTTAAATAAAGCACTCAACAGTGAGTGGCTTCTGAACATTTTCCAGAATTCTAATATGCTATTTGATTTTGATTTGCAAAGAAGGTAGTTTAGTATGCTGTCATTTCCCAGAAACTCACTCAGGACACTAACACTAGAATTATCTAGATTCTAGTTCTTGTTTTTTTGTTTTTTTTTTCTTTCTTTCTAGGGATTGTGATGAATGTATTAGCTGCATCTGTAATTCCACACCTGAGAATTTAGCCTCTACGTAAGCACAGAGATGCTTACTGCAGGACCATTTGTAACATGGACAAATTATAGCAAATTTCATATAGCTCTGTAAAGGAATGCACCTGACCTATATGCACTAGTCTCTAATGGCACAAAGACTCATACACACGAGTAAGCAAGGCACATAGTCCCATTTGTTTACACTGAAAAGTATAGGAATATGTGCCTGTACCTCTGCACCTGTAAGGGAGAGGTCTGGAGGGACGTTAAAATGTTAACCTTTGGCCTGGAGAGATGGCTTGCTATATAATCATAAGGAACAGAGTTCAGGTCTCAGCACCCAGACAGCAACCTGGGCATCCGTGCCCACCTGTAATCCTAGCCCTGAGAGGGCAGAAAGAGAAGAACTCTGAGGTTGGCTGGCTTTTAGCCTCACCAGGAAAATTCAAGTTCAAGGAGAGACCGT